TTTCCATTTTCGCCAGAGCGAAAGCGTGCAATATATTCCTTGTATCGAAGCTTATTTATATTCTGCAGGTGTTGCATTGCTCTCGGGTACACATTCAAGCCTTTCATAGGATATTTGCCTGCTTTATTTGGAGCTCTTCCTGGGAACCCATGAGAAGAGACAATCTTTTTCTTCCACTCGAAAAGGGTGGCCTCGGCCTTGTGCATTTGTTCGTGCGACAGTTGATGTTGCGATTTTTCTACCTCAAGGATGTGTGCCACCCATTTCTATTAGCGGTTCTTCGTAACCGTCTATTTACCACCTTCCTTTTATTCATGTCACAACAAGCGTTGCTAAAGAATTGCCGTTGCGGGGATTCCTAAAAGAAATTGTTGATACTGTCAGTTTTTTGAAATCCACGTTTACCTTAGAGTATTTGTATATTATTGACAGAACAAATTTAACCGCTGCACTTGTGAATAATCTTTTCCCCGAACCTGTTTATCGAAAGCCATATTCGCTTCTGTCTCGTCATGATGTATTACTTCGTGTACGTAGAATGTGTATATTTTCTTCAGCGAAAACATTTTTCTTTAAACTGCACACTTCCACGCTGCCAGTGAAAACGTGGCTGAATGAAAAATCAATATACGTACCCTGGACAGTGAATTGTAGGCTCTGTAATCAACCTGAGACTATAGAGCATTGTTTTATTCATTGTCGTGATGCATTTTACTTTTGGGACATTCTAAAAAGAACGTTTAGAAAAGAACTTCCAATCACAGCCCATGGTATTAGGTTCCTTCCGTTCAAAAAGAGTCTGACTGATAGTACTCCTTACGACCTGTTTATGTTGTTAGGACTTTATTCTATATGGAAAAGTTGCATAATCGATAGACACGCCGAGCCACCATGGTCGACGAGATCTGTCTTCCGAGAAGCAGCTGCTCAAGTGCGCAGCGTTGTCGAGACTTTTGACCCCGTTCCGGAGTGGCTTCCCGTTCTTGACGCTTGTGTGTGTTTGCCTGACTTCTGATGAAGTATGTTCTGTGTACTTTACTGGTAATAATGTCATTCATTAAAGAAAAAAAAGCACCGGCGTGGCTCAGTGATAGAATACTGGGCTGGCACCCAGTGGACCAGGGTTCGAGCCCCACTGTGCAATTGGTGCTAGTTTTAAAGACGATAGTTCTTCTTGGGGTACTTAAACGCAAAAACTTTGGTCTGTATGTCTGTGTCCGTCTGTGGTACAATTGTCTATTCGTCCGCCGTAAAGATACCCCCAAGAGCACCAAACGGTACCCCAAACGGCCAACCCCATCTGCAGCGCCCACCAATATTGCTCAAGTTTCATCGTTTATACTTGTGCGATTGACAATTAAAAAAGCAATTATTGCGCACAGCGCAATAATTCCACCATAAGCCGACGGCACCATAACAAGACGTGAACATTTTGTATGTGTGTCTTTGCACTAGTGAAGGCATACATAGAAAATTCTAAAGACCATATAGTTTATCACGCTGCGCTGACAATGTAACGCGATGCTAAAAAAAGCAATTGTTTTCAACGCTTTGCTAAAACTAAAGCCCCTATACCTTCGGAAAAGTACAGCGTTCTTTTGATCAGCGCCACTTCCTCCTCTCACCGGCTGTAAAGCAGACTGCAAACTCAAGGCGCAATACAGGGGGCGCCACGGTCACAAGCGAAAGAAAAAAGCATCGTGCTGGAGACGAGGCGGCGAGGGAAGAGCAGATGGCGGTACTTTTACGGGGTATAGGGGCTTTAGCTAAGATGACACGGTGGTGGCACCTGCCCGTCACTTTGCGTTCTACACCTTATCGCCTCCGAGATAGGCGCACGCCTTAATTCGTTTTCGAAGATAACTGCAAGATAGCTCTCATGTGTAACGTGCCTCAATGCGCTCGTTTGACTTTGCTGCATGGATGGAGACTCTCTGGATGGAGAATACAATTCAGCGATTTTCTCGCGCAGAACTTCAAATGAACGTTTTGTTCACTCTCTCCAGACGCAATACTTTCATCTATTGACGACATTTGCAGCGCAACAAGTAGATGGGGTCATTGTTTTTTTCTAATTTCACGCGATGTGGTTACGAACACCGGCGGCGGCGGTGGTGAACAACTACGGCACTGCGCGAGACCCGAGTTGTGATCTCATAATAGCATTCGTTGTAATAAGGAACTAGTGCATGAGACGGCCACAGTGTACTTTTTACCACTATTTGAAAGCCTATAGGTATGAACCTAATTGCCTAAGTGACAGCTTTGGTATGATGCTCAGCCAGCGCAAAATTGTGTGTGAGCTTGAATTCTGCGATGGACAGTAAACGCGATAAGTAACAGCAAAACATGTGGTAAGGGTTTCACTGAAACTGTTGAACAGTTCGATATTCTCAAGTAGATGGTGTCGGGAATGAAAGAAAGGTAACTTACCTGCAATTTCAATGCAAATTGAGCAGCAACGGGCCTGCAAGGCAAAGATAATACAAGTGCGACTCAAACAAGACTTCACACAATGACCACCGCCCTTGGTAAATAAACAAATAGAAACCTTACGACAACACTGCACTTAGTACGTGGGCATAAATGATTTCAAATGCTACAACGCCACACTGAGAACTGCCATGTATGGTGCCTTAGTAGCTCTAGGTCAGCCCAGGATTTGAAGCTTCAATGCATGAATATAGTAATCAAGCGCAGGGATGTAATATTAGAATATTTGTTACCTTCTGAACGAACACAGAAAAATAAATCATCCTTCATTCAGCTGTGCGTGACCAAATATGTGTAACTATAGAATTCAAGAGCTTCAAAGATACCTTCCAAATTGTTACACAAGGTCGATTTCGGAACTTTTAAGCTTCAACGAGATTATGAATATTACGTTCGAAATCCACAATCTTGCTACAAATAAAAGCCGTGTGCAAGCTCTCGTTGCATTTCTAAGAATATCAGTGCCCTTGACATGCGTTCGAAGATTATAGCATTAGTTTCTTGATATCCACAGCAATGAAAATGCGGCAGCAACAACTGAGATATAAACTAGCGAGATAGCACAACAGCAGATGAAATGTCACCCTAGTGACCGGTATGAATGTACAAAATGAAGGATACTTTTCTCGTGCACTGTGTAGTGCTCCGCAAATTAAGTGTGACAGTCAGTCGTCATTGTAGACGGTGCTTTCTGGCACCACCGGTGAGCGCTGGGAACACCAAGTGAGCTCCTCTAAGTATAGAATTGAAGCGAGCCTTACACTTGCATTGTGATGCCACTTCACCACCACACAATCACGTATTGTTTACCAAGGATGCAAAAAAGTGCTGCCAACCGTGAAGCTGGACTACCGCTTTTCACTTGCAGAGTGCAGCATTGTACTTGATGGCAGCCCTACTATGTAATGTAATCACACGAAAAAAGGAAGGTACTCTGGCTATCTACCGCAAGAGTTTGAGTAAATCAATTCTGTGTCATCAAAGCTATCAGCTCGGAAGCATGGTCAGACTTGAACAATGTAGCTAGCGCGGTGAATGTTCATAAACTGCTCATACAGGCTGCGAGGGAAAACCGGTGGGCAGTGAAATAAAAGCGAACATGATTGTAAAAAAAGACACCACTCAGACTAACATGTGACGCCTGTTACTGCTACAGTTGGACATGGAGAGCAATGCACTTCTGAGAAGGTTCAACTTCATGGACGTGCTACTCAATAGAGTGCCGCAAATGGCAGATGCTCATATCCATCATTTGTCAAAGGCAATAAATAAAATGGTCATGCCCCAATTTACAACAATGCTGGTTACTGGATGCAATGACGAAAACTTTGTGTCTGAGGTGACGACATTCCACATGCCCTTATGTATTGAAGACTAATGCGTGCACTACAGCGTGCTATACTGTGTGGTGTGCTGTGTGAAAAACTAAAAACATGTGGACTTCTAATGACATCTTGACAATGACACCATGTGAAAGAAAACGTTTCTGCACAAACGGGCCTAGCGCTCTTTTGCGTGTAGGTTTGGTAGGTTCGAAATGATGATTGTTACGTCACTTAGTGCGTATAAGTGATCCTCCACAGGCAGTGCAAGTCTATTGCTAGGGATGAAATATTACTTGAATATAACAATTTCTGCTGTTGTAGGTGTGAAAATCCTGATTACGAGGAATCCCGTAGACTACGAAAATTTCTACCATCAAGTGTAACGCGCGCAGGCATTGTACAGTACACGGACCTTTTGCTTTTCTCCTCCATCGAAATGCAGAGGGTGGAAAATCTCACATGATCCAGCAATCACGAAATTCAGAGGGCAACCAGTCTTGCAGAAAAATTGATTAATGTGCTGAGGTAATTACACTACATTTATTGCAGTTCGCGAGCTGCAACCAGGGATATTGAAATTTGTATCAATGTGAAACAAATTTTCCAGACGACTATGGCCATATTCACTATGTCCTGAGAGGCCCACCCACACGCCCGAAGCGCGCCACCAATCGTCTCCGCGAATAAATAAATATTCCCGCTCGTGCACACAGCAGCGTTCTCCATTGTTAGAGACACCTGTTAACAACGTCAGTCTGGAGTGTGCGCCCGTTGGTGCAGTAACTGTTTGCATCCACCTTTGAGATCGAAATGTCATTGACCCTTACTGTTGTATGAGACTATCACTTCGAAATATTAAGTCGCGAGGAAATACATTGCCTGTGCAGTTGCAGAACTCAAGTGGAGCCGCAGTTGTATTTTGTTTAAGTTTAGTGACGCAACTGCAGCCGCGCTTAGAACTCGAACTCTCTTGGCAAATGTCCGACTACTATTCTTAAAATAGGGTGTGCCGTAACATCTCTAAAGGAAACTATTTTCATGAATAACTGGCCAGGTGTTCTATTTATTGAAAATTAGAGGTTAAAATATTTTGCTCAAGCTCAGTTTGAGGTCAAAAATCCGTCACAGGCCTTCCAAGTTTTTTCTCAATAAAAAATGATAAAGCGCCTGCAGTAGAGGAACTCACAACTTGGTGCACAACTCCCCGAATTCTTCCTTCTTGTTTCTGTCGGGCTGCTTTTGGGAGCCATCAAAGCTCATGAGATCCTCTGCCAGTGTGCAAGTTTCCCGGCTGCCTTGGGAAAATTCCGTAGCACCACGCAACTGGCCAATCTTCTCGAGATATCTGTTCGCCAAGGAACCCTTGCCCGTCACCTGCGGAGTGGCTTCAGCCCCTATGGAGCATGCATTTCGGACTTCGGCAGATTTTGGAGCCACTTTGTGTTCTGCTTCCGGCTGATTGCCGTTGGGCAATGGAGGTGTCAGTGGCTTGCATTCGGTGGACGGAGATGGCAGCTTTTCGGGTACTGCGACATAGTTCCACAAGACAAGCAATATCAGAAAATACGCTCACCTAAATCACTTTGCTGTGAAGGTGCATCCAGCTATTAAAGAGAGACTTTCCTAAGTACATTATTTTGGCACTGTGATGGCGTTCCCTCCTACATGCAATCAACTTAAAGTGGGAAGTTAATTTTGTTATACTTATACACTCATTCAGCTGAGCGATATTAGCCGTAGCTGGTCAGAATGAAAGTCTAACTTTCCTTTTACTTGAGAAACGGTTTCTCTTGCGGGATCTGGAGACTTCCCGCTGCGTGGTGCGATAAAAACTGTCATAATCCCGCAAGCGTGAAAGCTTATTGCCACCTTCACGGGCGTTAGTTTTCATATATCTCTAAGCTTGTCCCAACTGCCAAAGCAAAATTCAGTCGTTTTATTGTCATCCCGAGAATGGTTCACGTCTTGCTGCTCAAGGATGAAAATAAACTTACAGGATCAGACAGGTAGCATGTGGCTTTACTACAGCAAAACAGTGGTGCTATCAGTCATTACGGCAAAAGAAACCGTGCATGACGACAGGCATAGGCTGCACAGCTATATGGTGCCACTGTTTCTTTAAGATAAATCTGCATTATTGATCATTGCAAGTTCTATTAATTTCAACCATAAGAACTGGGTTCATCAGGGTCTGAACAGTTTACCTCTGCATGTGCAAATTGTCGTTGTCATGGCCTGGAATCGACATGGCTTCAAGCCGCATACGCTGGCATGTATGCCCCTTTCTTATGTGAAAAAATGTGGTGCCCAACTATAGGCTTGTATATTAGACCAGATGATTCCCAGATGTTATCTAACTCGGGCTAGTTTGTTTAAAAGTGGGACTTGTGGAAACAAGTTATCGCAAATTGAAACAAGTTGGGTAGCCAGTTATATTTCCACCCGACATTAGTGAAGCGTGTCATTGCTTTGTAAATAGGACACAGCTAAAGAAATAGAACCCCTCATCATGGCCTACTGTAACTTTTGGCTGCTAGAATCATGCAGCCTTGATGGCAGCGTTCCGTCATCCCTTCGTACAAGGAACGCTGGTATTCAGGCCCTATATAGAATAGAAGCAAAGTGCCGTCTAGAATGAGCTGTATCAAAGGAATCAATTGTTAGGCAATGCATTATTAGTTAGAGGAAATTGTACCTATACCTGTAGGTAATGGCCACGCAGTCGAGAGCTGGCAGGTAAATTAAAGTGCCTAGAATACACATGCTATAGTATGATCACGGGCATCGTGGTGACACGGAAAATTATGCTTTCTACCCGTCGCCGTCTGCCGACAACGTGCGCGCCAGTGAAAGACGCCGATGGGCCGTCCCAGTCCATTTCGCGTTGTGGAATGTTGGTTGGGATGCAAGGTGTAATCAAAAGAATGTGAATTCGTCCAACTAGCAAACGATCGTACGCAAAGTTATTGTTATTGCACTGCACGATTCTGGTTGTTCGAAAAATATCAGTGCACGTGTAAATACGTGGTTTCTCAGGATAAAATATAACATTTTTTTTAAAGTAGACTATTATAGGTCACTCATGTACAAAATACTAAATTCACAGAAATTTATATCTTATCACCATACATTTACTAATTAACGGTTTAACCGCTTGAAGATGCTTAGTGTAGCATTTGCTGAAGTGTCTCTCAAACGACAGCCGCTGAAGTCAATTGTTCAATTTGCCCTCTTTATATTCTTCGTCCTCTCAGCTAAACGTTCTGGGTCTAAGAACGCGCTGAAGCTTGAGAAACACACGTTATTTGAGTGGTATAAACTCGTACAATAAGGGTGAAAACAGGTGCCGTCTTTACACCTCATTTTGTGTGATGACATCGCGCTTTATTGAACTGAAACGACTAACGTGTCCTTTGCGAAGCACATGCACAGAACAGAAGCACAGCAGTGAGAGGCGGAGACACCATACACTACTTGTTCAAAAGCAACCAGCTCCAGAATTTAACGCAACAACGGAATATTTCTTATTTAGCGACCGCAGCCGGCTGCGCTTACGAATGCGCATCTGAAGCGCAAACGATGCGTGTGCGGCACACACATTTGGCTTGATGCGTTACTCGGTTAGCGCGGTTTCTAAGGAGTTCACTGTCTGGTGTCCTCTGGCAGAAGGCACCACTGGCAGTGTCAGCGTCTCCCATTGGAAACGCTGGGCGGCAGAAAAACTGATGAGGATTAGTGGATTTTTGTAGCGCAAGGACCATCGGTTGCTAAAGAGCGCAATTACTTTATGTGATCTAAGCGATGACCAATTATTGCGGTGACAGGGCGGCCGGAAAATATAGGCACTGTAGCTAAAGGGCAATTTATATCCGATGATGACAGCCGCTCGAAGCCACTGCGTTGTATACATACCAACAACTAGTGCCACCACAGTGAGTGCTCACTGCAGCTTCTTTCCAAAGAGAAACGGCAATGAAGGCTGTGCATTTTCTTTCGGGCAGTATTGCGGGGCAAGAATTTGTCGTCGAATATAACTAGACATAAAGCATTGAAAGGCGTTCGTTTTTTTTTCTTTTTTGCGTTCTCTTGTGACTTTTTCCTGCCCTACTTAATACAATATTAATACCCAAACACCAGATTGCCCAGCATTTCAACTCTTAAATAATAGGGGAGCTGAAAACTTCCTGAATTCGTCACTTTTTGCGCAGAATTTAGTCGAACGCGGAACCCCAGGAAGGCTTGATACTTCTTTAAATAATTTTGAATTTTTAAGATGTAGAATTTTTATAACTATTTTCAATTTCAACTGGAACGTGAGAGACCAAAGGTATAAGTAGGTTTCCTGTGAGTAGAGTTACCGGGCGTCATGAAGCTTTTGTCTCTACAGGAATGTCTACAAAGGGCATTCACACTGAAATGTCAAAAGCTGGTGCAGAAGTGCCCTTTCAATAGCGCACTCAAATCCTGCCTCTCTTCCTTGAAGGTACGGCATTTTACCATTGGATTTAAATCGCTCAGTAGCCGGCCTTCGACCTCGAGGAATCAGGTAACAATCTGTGCTGTGTACAAGATGATTCGTTATGACAGACGAATGAATACCTGCCGGAAATGTAGACAGTTCCTGAAAATCTGGGAGCATGCATGGTGGTTTCATTGGCACAATTATCATCCCCATGTACAAGCGTTAAACGAAGAGGGTACCAGAATGTTTCAATAGCCAACAGTAAGCATTCGCACACGTCCAAAGTTTCAGCTGCTGAATTGAAGACACTATATTTCAGATTGAATCACCACGCTCACATTCACGTGACCTGGTTCCTTACAACTATCACTTGTTTCCTAACTTAACGAAACACTTGAAGAAACATAACGACAAGATGTCAAACATGCTCCTAATAGTTGTTTTGACGACTCATGTCATGTAGTTTTTTTGATGAACTAGAAAAATGAAAGTGATGTAGAAAGGAAATCTGAACAGGGATTACTTTGAATAACTACTTTCAATGCTGGGAATAAGTTTCTGTGTAATGCCAGAAACTTTTCAGCACGTGTGGCTCTCCGCTATTCCGGTAGGCCATTTCATCACCTCACATATAGCGGTCTCATGTTCTTCTAACAAAACCCAACTTTTAAACCCACCCACCCTTATTACTTAATGACGTGAGTGGACAAACGTACGAAAGCATTTAGGTATTAATTTCTTCGTTTCGGCCGGAAGGTGGTCTTTGATTTCCTGACGAAGGTCATCAGGAAATACCTCACGGGATATACCAATATATATATATATATATATATATATATATATATATATATATATATATATATATATATATATATATATATATATATATATATATATATATATATATATATATTGTGACTTTTTGTGGTGGCACGGAAAATTATGCTTTCTACCCGTCGCCGTCTGCCGACAACGTGCGCGCCAGTGAAAGACGCCGATGGGCCGTCCCAGTCGATCCTTTTCTTATGTGCTATCTTCAAGTTATTTCAATATATATATATATATATATATATATATTATATATATATGGGTGGATATAAGCGTTCAAAATTTAAAGCGGGATTATGAGGGACACCGGCAATGCCTTAGTATATAGTCCAGAGATTTCAGTCATGTAGGGTCCTTTTACATGCACCTACATCTAAGGAGACGTGTCGCAAACATTTTACCTCCGTCTAAAATGCGTTCTTCGAAAAAAAAATGCTATGTATACCACTGGAAGTACGCGTGACGGCTATGTAAACTGACATGGATGACCGGAACACGACCGAACTACATTGTACTTTACAAGAGTTGAAACGCTGAGGTGAATTTGTGCCTGATATTTTTGTAAGTAGCGCAACGAAATGGCACAAGAAAACAGAAAAGGCGAACGCGCCTGTGTTCCGTCTTTCGCGTTCTGTCGTACCATTTTGTGGCGCTACACAAACACGATGATTAGGTCTTATATTGTGGAACCATGCAAACATTTTGGCAGCGACCGCGAGTGATATATACACTCACGCACAGTGTGCGCGTGCGTTGTCAAATGAGTTTTTTACTCCCTTATTCCCCTTTCCCTGTGTAGGGTAGCAAACTGGAAGTAGTCTGTAGTGAACCTTCCATCCTGTATTTCTTATCGTCAAACACTTCGATACGAGACTATTGCGCTTGCTAAGCATAGACGCACCCATCCCCAGCCCCAAAAGACTCCCGATTAAATTTACAACAACGTGATCGTTACTTAAGGCACAAATGTGTATATCATTGCAAGTATGCGAAACAGCCGAGGTGCAAAGTTCACTGACACCTCAATGGCTACACATAACGGGTTCGGTATACTAGGCAATATAACATCCGTACCGTTTCCGGCTTCCAATGAAAGCTCGAGGTCGTGGATGGTCAGCCGTTCGAGCATGAGACGTGCCTGCCTCTCCATGTGAGTGCTCAGATTCTCCGCCTCAGGCTCAAGGGTGTGCTCCATCTCCTGTTCGGGCACCTCCGTTGTTGCGGCCATGGGCTTGGACATGAGATACTTCTGTCCGAAAGAGTAGTCGCCCTCCCACAGACTCAGGTTTGTGCTGCAGGTCAAAGGCAAATGTCCATTTGGAAAGCCCTCATATGGGATGCCGCGACATGGTCGATCATGGCAAAAGGGAAGGGAACACGAAAAAAAAAATCTCCGGCTCAGCACTCCGTACAAATGGTTAACCAGCGAAAGCTGAAACATGCGGCCCCGGTATTTAGAAGTGGGTTCAACCCACCCGACGCTGCACTGAAGCCTTTAAGAATGATTGGGGACATGTTCGTGCTTCTTAATGCGATGTTTGGCTTAGGTTTACTGAAGCGTTTATTTCACATGCCGCGCATTGTGTCTCGCATGATCACGTTCATAGAGTAGTGTAATGAGCGGTTAAATGCGTTTCGGAACGCGTTAATCTCAGCGGTTGTTCTCGAACCACAGGCGGTCACAGACGTCGCAGCCTAAGCCAAAGTGACGCTGGAGAAACTCTCACGGAGAACTACCGCAATTGTCACGTTGACACTGCCGTGCCCGCAATGGCGCGGCGTTATTGCAGGCGTTTGACACGACGAGTTAACTCGGCAGTGGGGTCTACAGGATCCTCCCGCCACTGGCACTTGCATTCCCGTTCATGGTTTACCGCGCTTAAGGCTGCCGGATCATCGGTATACGCACACTGCCACCACTCGGCCTTCCGGGCCTGTTTTTGTGCACGGACTGCACTATCAGCCCGTCAAAGGCGAGCTCTCTCACGTTTACACGGTAGACGCTCTTCTATAGTTGTCCGTGGTTTAACTACGTCAAGAGGTTTCGCTACTACAGCTTTCACTATTAAAAAAAATGCAGCAGCTCCACTACTGTAAAACTTGAAGTGCGTATAGCGCGGGCACCCTGCAAATCCCGTCGCGCTGTTTGTTTGTTTTTTTTTTGAAGCGATAGCGTTAAAGAGCTCGTTTCACAGAAATTCCTGACTCGGCGTCGTCGGTTGTGAGCGAAAACGTATGTTGTGTGTGACTGAAAAATTGACATATACAAATAAATTAAATAATACGTGAGACGGCGTTAGGCACGACGAAACGATTGTTGTACTTACGACACAGGCACGAGCCAAAAACTGAACACCCGGCGAAAAAACAGCACGATGATGATTACGATGATTTGTATACATACATGAAGAAGAAGGAGATGAATTAATTGATTGATTTGTGGGGTTTAACGTCTCAAAACCACTATTTGATTATGAGAGACGCCGTAGTGGAGGGCTCCGGAAATTCTGACCACCTGGGGTTCTTTAACGGGCACTCAAATCTGAGTACACGGGTTTACAACATTTCCGCCTCCATCGGAAATGCAGCCGCCACAGCCGGGATTTGAACCCGTGACCTGCGGGTCAGCAGCCGAGTACCTTAGACCACCATGGCGGGGCGAAGGAGATGAATTATACAGTGATCACACTATTCCCCCGTTTGTCACATTTATTTTTATTTTAGTATGAATTATTTCGTCTCATATTTTTTCCTCTCAAGAATAATACCCAAAATGTAGTTTTTTATTGTACAAAACGAGAACTTCTCTCTCTCTCTCTATATATATATATATATATATATATATATATATATATATATATATATATATATATATATATATACACAATCACTCAGGGTTAGTGTGAGCCAGATGTTTAAGATATAAATCTATGTATATTTACCCCTTCATAAAGTGGTCAGCAAGACGTCCATTTAGTAGGGGTACGAGCGCCAGATATAGGGCTTCAGTAAAACTACATGGGCGATCTCGGTACCGTGACGACGGTGATCAGAAGCCGAACTAACAAGAGCGACGCGATAATTTGAGGCTGATGTTTATTCAAGCATAATGTAAGCACCCATGCAGGTATTTGTTAACAAATTTTTCACTGAGCCTCGTTGTGCGAACATGTAGGTGTCCAGAGGAACACTTTGCCTACTGGTTGGAACAACACATCTCTACAAGTCGCATAAGAACAAACTTTGCGCTTGGCCTGAATGGGAGAGGTGTCGCGGGCAATGACACGGCAGTGGCAGATGAGAAAGAAATCCCTTCAGTTCGCATAGTCTTGCCACGGTCACTATAGAGAACACGAGAGGTACCATGGTGCAAGATTATGGGCTCGTTAAGTTAGCGTGCTCGGAACTCTGAAGAAGCACACCCGAGTGCGCTCAGGTGCGACACCTGCAGCGCAGTGCTTCGGAGCTTAACTTAACCGCGATTTCAGCCGACTGCCTTTGGGGGCACGACAGCGTGGCGGCGGCAGTGTGGCCGTTTAGTGGCAGTAGGAACGAGTGGGGAAAAAAGCCGGAAGCACGTTATTGTGGTTGTTCTGGTTGTCACACTAGAACCACGCTCTCGTGCACCGTCTCAAATTCGGAGCGCATAGAGCGCACTCCGTTATTACGCACCGGAAGTCGCTTTTTAACCGTTAAGTTTACAGGAGCGCACTCCGCTGGCTAAAGCATGCACGAGCTGCTAAAGTTAACGCGCCCGGCACGCAGGACAAAGTCGGCGACTTTGGAGGCAGTGCCAGAAGGAAGAGCTGCCATATCAGCTCAGCGAGTAAGATGGTCCATGGCTAATTAACAATCCAGCGTTGACCGGCGGGTGTTAGCGGAAGGGGTCCGTTTGTCTATGCCCCAGAACTCGAAGGGAGCGTACGGCTACAGGACAGGTTGTAAATGGGCAATGGAAAGGGATGTCGAACATTTTCGGTGAAGACATGAAGAGGAATCAACCTACTTGGAAACACTAGTGGGGTGCCAGGCCAGAAGCGGCGAGTCCTGATGCGATCGTAGTGATGCCGCTCGACGTTGGTAAATTTGCATAAATAGCGCTCCATCGTGAAGTTTAAAACGCGTGAGTTGTCTTGCCCCAGTCTATTACAGTTTCTACACGTCTCGTCCAGTTGAGGTCATGTGAAGTCCAAAGACCAAGGCACTTGTAGTAAGCTTTGCTAAAACTACTGCTTCGACGAATTGGTTAATGATTATGATATACTTATCAGCGCAAACAAAGACGGAACATCTAGAAAAGACACGCACACACACAGTGCTATATGTGTGTGTCTTTAACGGATGTTTCGTCTTTGTTCGGGCTGGTCCCCCAAAAATTATTATTCGCTGAATTCGTAAAATGAAAATTGTTACGTTTGTGATAAACTTCCGTCAGAACAGTCTTTTTTAAAATAACCGAACTCTGCCATTTATCGCACCAACAAATGACCTTTTGAAACGCATCGTTCAAATAGCTTTGGTCTGTAACCTCCATTTGTTAACCCACCCCTTATGTAATACCCCCTCACCGGGGTCTTTAAGATAATAAAGTGAAGTGAAGTGAAGAAGTCAGTCTGGTTTTCTATCTCTGAGTACAGTATGCAGTAATCAGCATATATCTTGACGTTTACTGGTATACCATGTGAAATATCAGAGATAAATAAGAAAAATAGGAATGGTTAGAGCATTGAGCTTTGGGGGACACCCGATCCTATCGGTACTATACGGAAACAATGATCGTTCAACAGCACTTATTGTTTCCGATTCAGAAGATAAGCGGAAATTCAATTTAGGAGCTTAGTATTTTAAAGAGTTAAGTGTAATTTGAACCACACCTTATCGTGAGAGATCGTATTGAAAGCTTTACCTAAATCTATAAAAATTGCATGTACCTGCTTTCCGGAATTTATAGCTAGTGGAAATCATGCAGTGTAGTTACCAACTAGGTACATACAAGGAAAATAAGCTTTCCTGAATCCACGCTTCAAGGCTGAGAGGACATTTGGCTTATCTAGGAATTCAGAAATATGCGTATATATATTATGCGCTCATGGAGTTTGTCGTAAGTTAAACTTATTGGAATTGGGCGATAGTTAGTTACAAACGGGGGATTTCAATTCTTATTTAGGGGCTTCACTTGTACATTTACCCAGTCATCCGGAACTTGACCTTAATTCTTGCGGAGATTTAGACATGGTAATTTTAAAAACTTTGAAACTCATGGCACATAGCGTTTTAGGAACTCATTCGGTACTCCATCAGAACCTGAATATTTTTTAACATGAAATTTAAAAAATACAAAATTACGTATTTATTTTCACAATAGCCGATAGAGGTGGGCTTGCCACATCAAGTGTTTTCAGGCCTCCGTTGTTATTTGTAAAAACAGATTTAATGTGGTCATTGAAAATACGCGGTATCGTATCAATAAATTTACAAAGAATTCGGAAAACTAAAAAATTAAGTCCAAAGATTGATTTGCAAACTTAAATCTCTGAAGATTTGATGAACTCCACAAGTGAATCGGCAATCTTCCCGTCATTGTGGCCAAGAGAGAAAGCCACGAGAGAAACTACATTCTGTGCGCTTAAATCTATTCTAAGGAGGTGGAAAATGGCATCTAAATAATTATTGCGTAAGGCTGAGTATCTAAAACAGGAAATCAGATAATGCTTGGTCGACTCCTTTTTTCTCCCTACAAACAATAGGGGAAGCTGCCAGACCCACTGTGTAAATATAAATTTAGCTGCGCAGTCTGACAACAGTGTAGTGGTCGCGACTTGTATCACTCAAGTTTAACGTAATTTACTATTCCAATGATACATGGAATACCTGAATTCGATGGGAAATTTATTGAAGGTGGGGAAAATTCTTCTAACAGCTGCTTCTTTCTTAATCTAGCACTTCTAATCCACACCTTCAATAAAAGCCACATCAAATCCACAAAAGTGACACCCTAAGGGGTGCCCCTTCTGCGGATTTTATTTAAAGTTCTCCGTATTGTAGCTCACCGACTATTGCTGATTTACATTCGAAGAGTCCAAGAAGAAACAAGCCTTTGACCAACTGTACCCTTCGTCTCTTCAGTTCGTGTCACGTGCAATTCTCTACATCTTCCACTCCGACAATTTCACTGACCTCTTTTTAATATTCTCCGTAGGCCACCTTTTACAGTATAATCTTGCACAAATACTCCCCACAACTAATAACGCTCAGCTACAACTATTTTCGCCTTTATTGTACGAGTGCAGAA